GTATGGGTTAATGTTGGACTTGTGGGCTTGGGCAGCATTGGGTTGGGATGTTTTCGTGATGCACATTTTCTTTGCATAAAACTCTCTCTTATACGTGAGTTGCCATGGATTTGTTTCTCCAAAGTACCTAGACTAATACAATAATGCTGTTAAAATCTGCACTACCAATTTCCTAAATGGCATGATGACTGGCAATCTTTGTCTGGGGACGTGGTGGAAGGTCGCAGGGAAGCAGCAGGCCTGTAGCGACGTCCTCTCTCCGACGTGATGTGATGTGATGTGATGTGATGTGATGTGATGTGTACTCCCCACCCAGGGGGTCGGCACACGCTCGCACAGAGCTCTTCCTGTCGGTCAGGGCCGTCCAGTTGGTCCTGGCCCTGCACACATCAGAACGGGGCCGTCCGGACCCACTTCATCCTCTCCATCAGTGGCTGCTAGATTTGAGCGTATTGCTGCAGCCACTAATTAAGCCTCTCCGTTTTGCACCGACTCTCCACTTTGGCAGGCATGATAGCCTTCTCTGGGGACCGTCCCTCCCGATGACATATGCAGAGGTGAGAGGCTGTGGGAAACTGAGAACCTGGAAGAAAGTGCGAGCAGCCTGCTCTTTACACTCGTGACGGCGGGGCTGGGAAGACCAGCACTGGGGTTTAGAGGAAGATTGCCACAGTCCCGAGATAAAGATACCACCAAGTATACATTCTCCTTCAGTGAGGTTTCTTCACCCTTGCCCTCTATTAAAATGCTACTATAAAGCTGCCTTCTACAGGCACCTGGCTCCTCGCTTAGCTACTGAAGGGTGCCTGTCTCTAAGGTTCTTTTGCCCCGTTTACTCCCCGAGAAACCTTCTTTTGTCTCTTCATTGCCAAATGCTTATCGGGACGTGGTCCCCTGAGGAATGACCTTGCACCCTCTGTCGTGTGTGTGCTACCTAGAGGCTGGCAGCCTCCTTACTCCATTACCCCTTGTTGACTACACCCGACAGCTCTTCTCTTGGCCATCAGTCCCCGGTGCCCTGTCTTTCTGTCTCCCCTGTTCTCTGATCGTGCAGTCGTCTCCTCAGGACCCCATTCTATCGTGGGGCTGGTCCCCCCAGAGACAGTTTCCTTATTTTCCCTTCTCAGGAGCATTCTTGTTAGGTGTCTGGGGTGGTTGGCCTCCGTTCTTGTCCCACAATGCTGAAAGAATTCACACAGCAGAAGCACATTTGTAAATCCAAGTCACCCTAATGCGGAAAGGAAAGTTTCCAGCATGAAGGGCCGCAAGGCCGCGGCCTGGGAAAGTTCAGGAAGGTGGTCAAACGCACACGGCATACTGGACAGGAGCGCGGACCGGCGCGGAGCCACCAGCGGGACCAGAGACCAGAGCAGAAATCCCAAGAGAGAGAACGGGCAGCCAGTAGCACGCGGGTGGGTGCTCGTCCACACACAGCCCACCCTTTGCAATAACGTGGGTGAACTGGTCATAATGATCAACCCCTACCCACACACCCCCTCCAGAGGACAAACAACGGAAACCATGGGGAAGGGAGACAGCGGTGGCTGTAAGATATGAAAATAATGACCATTTATCCTGGGGTCACGAGGGTGGCAAGGGAGGGAGGGTAAAAAGAGGAGCTGATACCAAGGGCTCAATAGAAAGTCTCTAGAAAAGAATGATGGCAACATACGTACAAATATGCCTGATGCAACTGATGTGTGGATTGTTGTAAGAGTTGTAAGAGCCCCCAATAAGATGATCTCTTAATAAAAATAACATGGGTAAAAAATAACAATAATGTGGGTGAAGCAAAGCCTTTGGGACTGTCATTTGCTGATGGGGTGTGGCTCAAACGGAGAAGAAACCGCTGCCATGCTGTGTTGCTAACTGGAAGCTGGAATGTACGGAGTGTGATTCTAGGGAAATTGGGCATCATAAAAAATGAAATGGCATGGTGGAGCGGGGAGGGAGGGGAAAAAATGAAAACTGATTCCAAAAGCCCAAGTGAAAGCAAATGTTTTGAGAATGATGAGGGCAACAAATGTACAAATGTGCTTTACACAATTGACTTATGTACGGATTGTGATAAGAGTTCTATGAGCCCCCAATAAAATGATTTTTTTTAAATGAAATGGAAACGATGAAAAATACAACTTTCCTCTAGTTCCTAAATGCTTCCTCCCCACTCCCACTATCATGATCTGAATTCTACCTTGCAAGTCTGGGTAGACCAGAGGATGTACACTGGTACAGATAGGAACTGGAAATACAGGGAACCCAGGGCGGATGAGCCCTACAGGACCAGTGGTGTGAGTGGCGATACTGGGAGGGTAGAGGGAGAGTGGGTTGGAAAGAGGGAACCGATTACAAGGAACTATATGTGACCTCCTCCCTTGGGGGCGGGCAACAGAAAAGTGGGTGAAGGGAGATGTCGAACAGGGCAAGATATGACAAAATAATAATTTATAAATTATCAAGGGCTCATGAGGGAGGGGGGAGTGGGGAGGGAAGGGAAGAATGAGGACCTAATGCCAGGGGCTTAAGTGGAGAGGAAATGTTTTGAGAATGATGAGGGCAATGAATGTACAAATGCGCTTTACACAATTGATGTATGTATGGATTGTGATAAGAGCCCCTAATAAAATGATTTTTAAAAAATGAAATGGAATGCATAAAGATCCATATTCTGGGCCCGTTTGAATCAAGCAGTTGTGCGCTCCGCCGCACCAGTGACAGACACAAGAAGAAGAGCGCTGCATTCATCTTTTCAGTTGGAATGCAGAGTTGGAAAGAAAGAGGAAGGAATACTCATTGGAAAATATGGTCGTGGTGACAGAAGTGAATCTGGGGGTCCCATGATAGAATTTTGCATGGCCAATGGCCAACAGCAGAAAAGGCAACTGTCCACATGAACTTCTCTAAATAGAATGCGCAGAAATCAAAGTGACTGCATTTGTGGGAAGAGAAAATAGAGAAACCCACTGTCAGCAGCTAAAACCAGGCCAGCAGAGCACCAAGCGCTCAGATGTAAGTTCAGGTCGAAGCTGAAGCAAATGAAATGAGTCCAAGAGAGCAAAAATACACTTTGAGTTTATCCTACCTGACGTTCAAGTACATCTCAAGGACAGACTTGATGCCCTGAACGATAACGACCCGATGAGCTGAGGGGTGATATCAGGAAGAGCACACATGGAAACAGCAAAGGTCCTTCCGCATACAGGAAAGAAAGAAGAGAGACCAAAGTCGATGTCAGAAGAGACACTGAAGTTTGCTCTTGAAGGTAGAGCAAGTTTCCATTGCAAAGGCAAATGGAAAAAATGCTAATGAGAAAGCTGAACAGAAAATGTCGAAGGGCATCTCAAGAAGACAAAGTATCATAATCACATGTGCAACGACCTAGAGTTAGAAAACCAAAAGGAACGAACATAGCATATCTTAAACTGAAAGAACTCAAGGGAAAAGTCAAGTTTTGAATTGCAATTTGAAAGATTCGCTGGGCCATTCTCACATGTTGTTGCAGTTGGGGTGCTGTGGAATCGGCCCCCCTCGTGCACAGTACGACATGCCACCTGGGCCTGCACCACCTTCACAATTGTTCTTATGCTCGAGCCCTTTTATTTAAATAGTAGATTTACGGACATAGCTTGTGCATTCCAATATATCCATTTACATGCAACCCTGTTGTGCAATCCCGTTGGGTGGGGGTCCACAGTCATCAATGCTATGGATGCTCCTTTTCCCCCCTTCCTCCACCCTCTCACTTCCTGTGGCTTCAGGGAACCATTACTCCTGGCAGTGTCTCTGAGGGGTTATCTGTCTTGACTGTGCTGTACCGAGCGATCTGAAATGTACAAATGAACCCATGCAAATCTAACATGATGAATGATGTATAACACATAAAGCCCTTAATGGTATGGGGAGGAGATCTTACAGTATTAGAGGATCGTTATGTGGTTCATCAGTGCCACACCGCACCCTGGATTTATCATTCATTCCAGGTGATCCCTCTGAGAGGGACTGACATAGTGGTCTCCACTATGTCCACACCCCTTCACATCAATTTGGTTGCGTATTTTTAATTCCATGGACACCGCATGATCACACAGGCTGGTGTGCTTCCTCCATGTGGGCTTTGTTGCTTCCCTGCTAGATGGCGGCTTGTTTAATTACAGGCCTTTAACACCCCTATCTTTTGATAGCCGGGCACCCATTTGCTTATGCACTCATTTTGTTCTCGGCGATTGGGTCAGGGAAGTGAGCATGATACAACGCCACATTATTAGAACAAACCATTCTTCTGCTGAGGCAGGATTTAAGTAGAAAACCAGAGTCCATCTGTTGAGCCCACTGTTGCCGCCACTGTCAATCCACCTCCTGAGGACCTTCCTCTCTTTCGCTGCCCCTCCAGTTCACCAAACATACTGTCCTTCTCCAGAGATTGGTCTCTCCTGACAACATGTCCAATGTTATGTTAGATGAAGTAACACTGTCTTTGTCTCTAAGGAGCACTCTGGCCTTTTTTCTTCCAAGAGAGATGCTCTTATAACAACCCATACATCTATTGTATTAAGTACATTTGTACATATGTTGCCATCTTCCTTTTCTAAACAGTTTCTTTCTACTTAAACCCTTGGTATCGGCTACTCTTTTTCCCTTCCTTCCCCCACCCTCGCCTGGTTTGTCCTTCGGCAGTCTGTGGTACTTTCAGTATTCTTCCCCAGCACCACAATGCAAATGCATCAATTTTCTTCCTTTTTTTTCCCCTCTCTCTCAATAAGAGGTACACATATGGAATGCTTCACGAATTTGCATGTCATCCTTGCCCAGGGGCCATGCTAATCTTCTCTGTATTGTTCCCATTTTAGTATACTTGTATATGCTGCTGAAGCAGTCTTCCTTACTCAATGTCCAACTTTCACATGCATAGAAGGCGGTTGAAAATACCATGGCTTAGGTCAGACACACCTTAGTCCTCAAAGTAACATCCTTGCTTTTCAATCCTCTAAAGATGTCTGTGTGCGGCAGATGTACCTAATACAGTGCATCCTTTGATCTCTTGATTGCAGCTTCCATGAGCATTGATTGTGGATCCAAGCAAGACAACATCCTTGACCACTTCAATCTTTTCTCCCTTGATCATGATGTCACCAGGGTCCCAGGGGTGAGGATTTGGGTCTTCTTTACATTGAGTTGTGATCCACACTGAAGGCTGCAATCCTTCATCTTCATCGACAAGTGCTTCAGGTCCTCCTCACTTTCAGTAAGCAAGGTTGTGTCATCTGCACATCAAGGATTGTTAATGCATCTTCACCAATCCTGATGCAGCATCCTTCTTTTAAACCATGAAATAGTCCCTTCCTTTGTTGACACTGTCTCTTGATCCATGTCCGAGTTCTGAAGGAGCAGAATGAAGAGTACTGGAATTCCCATTCTTCTCAAAGTTTTCCAGAGTTTGTCATGGTCTGCAGAGTCAGAATCATTTGCATAGTCAAGGAAACACAAGTTAACATCTTTCTGATATGCTCTGTTTTGAGTCGAGATCCATCTGACATCAGCAATGATATCCGTGTTCCACATCCTCTTTTGAACCCAGCCTGAAACGCTGTCAACGTACTGCTGAAACACTGTTGGATGATCTTCAGCAAAATTTCACTTGCATATAATGTCAACGATATTGTTCTGTAATGTGAGCATTCTGCTGGGTCACCTTCCTTTGGAATGGGTGCAAGTATGGATCTCTTCCAGTCATTTGGCTAAGTCGCCATCTTACAAATTCCCTGGCATAGATAAGTGAGTGCATCCAGTCCCTGACAGCTTGTCGGAACATTTCAATTGGTATGTCATCAATTCCCAGAGCCTTGTTTTTGGTTAATGCTTCTTCCTTAAGCACCATTGGTTCTTGCTCATCTGCTATCTCCTGAAATGGTGGAGTGTCGACTAGCTCTCTTTGGTACGATTGAATGCTGTAGGAGACATCAGAATGAGATTGAAAGTATACACAGAGTCACTGTACTATATTGAAAGTGGATTGGCGGTTTCCCTGACCTATCTCGTTGGGTCTCAGAACCCCCCAGGGGCTCAAGATGCCCCTGTCCTTCTCTGCTCTCCCTTCCCTCCCAGGAGTTCTTTCCCTGCCTCAATAAAATATTTCTCAATTTAAAAAAAAAAGAAAAGAACGTGAATTGAATTGCTTGTTGATGAAGATCAAGGATTGCAGCCTTTAATATGGATAATAACTCAGTGTGAAGAAGACCAAAATCCTCACAATTGTACCAGTAGGTAGCAGCATAATAAATGGAGAAAAGATTGAATTTGTCAAGAATTTTTGTCTTGCTTCCATCTACAATCAATGCTCACAAAAGCAGCAGTGACGAGATCAAAGGCCGCATGGCATTGGGTAAATCTGCTGCACAAGACCTCTTTAAAGTCTTGAAAACCAAAACAGTTTCTTCAAGGACTAAGGTGTTCCTAACCCAAGCCATGGTATTTTCAACTGCCTCATGTGCATATGAAGCTTGTACATTGAATATGGAAGACTAAAGAAGAATTGATCAGGGCCAGTTCTACCCTATGTGTCAGAATTGACTTCATAGCAGAAGAAGTGATGCCCCAGGGGGATGATTGATAATGTTCTCTAACATAAGATGGCAATGAGGTCTCTAAGATGAACCAGAGACAAACATAAGCCATAAATGCATGAATGGATTTGGGGCTTTCAGTAAATCCTAGCTCCATGCTAAGAACAATTATGTCTTATAACACGGCCTTACTTGATGCTCAACTTGCTGAAGAGATCACTGCAGATGTGGGTGCTATAATGAAGTGTGGTGAAGAAATGGGATGGTGCCTGCCGATCAGAAGAAAATAGGCTTTGGGGTTTTAGAAGCTTGTTTTCAAACAAACAGCGATCTAAATGAGGCATCAACTAAGTCCACATGGAAGAAGAACACTAGCCTGTGTGATCCAAGGGTTGTAAATAATATAATCCAAATCTGAAGGAGGGAATGGAATTAGAGCTTAAATTGTGAACACCTGGTTTGCAGAAGGCTCTGGATGGCAGTGGAAGCCCAAAATCCATTTGCAGCGTCACACATGGATTAAGCCTCTGGTGAATCCCCTCTAATCATAGTTGAGGGAGGTGAATAGCCCTGTTATCAGACAGAGCATTGCAAAGTCAATTGGCAGGCATAGGTAAAAGTGTAATATCTTATCATTTGATCTCCCTTTCAACACATTTTAAAGCTGGTTCAGTTTTTTCCTTTTTTCAAATGAAGGGAAAATACATGCAGATTGAGCCCCTGGTGAACCCCCTCTCTCCGTGGACTAGGGATGAACAGCCTCACTATCGCATAGAGTCTTTGGAAAGTGGATTGTTGCAGATACAGTTAGGTTAAAAACTGCACCTTATGATCCATTTAAATTTGCTCTAGTTTTTTATATTTTCTGCTTTCTTTTCAGCTGAGGCTTTAATCTGTTCTCTTTTGTTATTGTTGTCAATTTATGTATTTTTAATGTTTTTCTGTATATGAAATTCAGGGTAGGTAAATATATAGAGATAATAATGGATTAATGGTTCCTTCGGGGTATGGCAGGGGAGGTTGGGGGGAAATAGGGGCTAATATCAA